CTTGAAAACCGTATTTTTTTCTCTCTGTATATATATCAGTATTGTTGAATATTGTTTTTATATTCAATACCCTAAGTTAAATAACTCAAACATTCTTAAAACAGAACATGTCAGTTTTTTATGTAATCCTTTCAGTGCTACACATTTTGCATATCTGTATTATCAATTTTCCTATACTAGACTTTGGAAAATAAGACTTTTTACCAGAATTAATTAGACATAAACATCAGAATCGTCGAGTACTCGGCTTTTATACATTGAAATTTCGGTTCTTCCGTAGTATGTATATATATACCAGGTTAGGGTTGGGCCATAATTTTCACCCGATTCTTCGTATTTCACTTATATTACGAGTTTGGTGTCTGTCTATGTTAGCCAAGTGAATATACCCCCTGTCCACAGGCTTTCGTTTTTTTACACAACTTGATGTGAAGTAGGCGAAAAAAATTAGTTACCTCCATATTGGTGCACACACTTCCGGAGCGCCGAAATTTCTGGCGCACCACGTGATAACGCCACCGATGCAAGTACTATATCAAAATCACGAAGATCAATGTCATATCTTCTTCACGATATAACGATGATGGATTGGTGGTGGAGCTATACTACAACAACGACATAATAAAAACTAGGCAACAGCAGCTCGTTTTGTAAAATGCTTCAGTAGCAATTAGTAGTCAGTAGAACTGAGCACCGGCGCTAATGATTTCACATGCTACTGATAATATATTCAGTCGTAAATATGAATTTGCGTATTGAACCTGTGTTATATGAATAACTCTGTTGGTAACCTCTGAGTTTGAAAAATTTTTTTAATCGTCTTTATTCGATTTGAAAAACTTTAATGTTCTTTTCATTGAAGATTTCAATATCTCTCTCGCCGTGTGTAAAAGCTACTGTACGGATGGACCAATTATAGACTTCAGCATTGTGCCATATACGGATCGGGGGTCATATCGATTGATTAGTTTTCTATAAATTTAGCCTATAGGAGACCAATCGAATCTTTTCAATTACGATTCTAATTTACAATTCAGCTCTGATCACTACGCATAAATAAGGTATATTCTTCAACTAATGTTGTCAGCAATCGTAAAGTGACTAGAACGACAAAGTGTTGTTTCAATCGATTTTAGTAAATTTCTTATTTCATTCGATCTTGATTAAAATTCAAAACTCCCTATTTTTGAACGATTGATGTCAATTCTAAATGATATGGGATCATGTTAACATTTTTATCAGATTCTTTACGAGAATAGGGGACAAGCAAGTCCAATCTACTAATCCACTCTGAATTCCCTTTCTCAGCCAAAACGAGTCTCTGACATTATCCAGCTATATAACTACACAAAAGTAAATATGCGTAATAATATTAATTTGTTTTTGATGTGAAAAATACAAATTATGTTTTATAAAAAAAAAACGATATATATTAAGAGAAGTAACTTTTGCGTCTTGGCAATAAGATATATACTGCCACGTCATTGTTTGCATCCGCGACCATGCAAATCTTCATTATTTCTTCCTATGTTCGCTCTGTTGGTCAAACATTCTGACATCTTCTCCTGAAAATATTTGCAATTTAGATGAAAGCAATTATGGCAAAAGATACCACCACGATATTAACGTTTAGAAGTACTTACTTAAAATATCGAGTTGTCTCAATATAGCTCGCTTCTTTCGTCCCCAATTGCCTCCGTTGCCGTTATGCGTAGTCATGCTTTAAATATTGAAAATATGTTTTTTGAAAAGATGTATTTTCTCTGTTTTGTTACCACGAACACGTTATGTCGGAATCAGTGTTATCAATAATTCTGCATGGAGATTTTCTGAATTCGACTGAAAACTATACTGAGTAACCTTCATATCTTGTAATACAAACAGCTATCATAACTACAAGACCCTACACCGACACAAATTGGCAATCAATAAACTAGTGAACAAAAATAATAAATTGACATGACTCTAAAAATAGGCGATGTACGGTAAATTGAGGACGTTATTCCTTGTGGAATGCAAAAAAATGCATTTTTCCAAGTCTTAAGCTTCAATACACTTACTCGTGGTCTCCCGAATCAGGTGGGGGATCAGTGGCTGCTTCTCCGGTCAAGGTATGCATCAAGAGAATTAGACAGCATATAAATATAACGGTGAGATTGAACAACTTCATAATTCAGTTGTAGAATACTAATAGAATTTTTTTAAATCTGTGACAATAAATATAGTAATAAAAAAGGAATCAATATTGAAATATATGGACACGAAGAGGTACTCCCGTAGTATGTGTACCAGGTTAGGGTTAGGGCATACTTTTATTCCGATTTTTCTCATTTTAGTTCTATTACGAGTTCGGGGAATGTCTGTGTTAGCCACCTGAATAAACACCTGCACATGGATTTCAGTCTCTTTAGTCTTTACACAACTTGATGTAAAGCACGAAGGTCAAACGACTGAGGATAGGACGGAAGTAAGTAACTTACATCGAAGTCCGTTGTACACCATGGAATGAAAAACTGTTCCCCTTTAGTTCAATCAAAAACAGAAATTTTGGGATAAAATAGTCGGCTGCATAAGCCGTCTAGCCGTTTCAATCAATTCAATTCAAATTTGTTAGCGAATGAAAAGCTATTTTTCATCAACAACAACAATTATCTCAATCACAACAAGACTATCAACAACCAAAAGTCTTGTCTTGACTTTCTGCTCTCTGCAATCCTTAAAACAAGTCACGAGTACTAGAATTTGGTTTTAACAATACTCAATAATTTTGTACTTATATGTACTATTCAGCTGCAATAATAATAAGGAATTACTTTCATTAAAAGAAATGGCTCATTGCCAATCATGCACTTGAGAATATTGGACAACTGGCCTAAATTATAGCGTCATTTACTTAATAGATAAAAACTGAAATAATACAGTTCGTACGGAGATAGCGTATCCTGTGGACGGTATAATATGACGTAAATTCGAAGTGTTTTGTTTAGTTTAATTTCCTTCTTAGATATTAATGTTCAACTTTATTACAAATCACTTCAATCAGACAGTCAATCATTTGGCGTAATTATTATCATTAGAATAAATCGTGTAAACAACAGATTCGATTGAAGAAATAGTTTAATAAATTTAAAGTAGCGTGGTATTTATTACATGGTCAGCTCAAGATAAATGCTGCTTTTAATTCAAAAAGATTAGGTTATAAGATTTGGCGCCCCAGAAGTGTGTGTGCCAATATGGAGGTAACTAATTTTGTTCGCCTACTTTACATCAAGTTTTGTTAAGGGAAGGAAGCATATGGACAAGGAGTATGTATATTTACTTGGCTAACACAAACAGTCCCCTAACTCGTAATAGAACTAAAATAAGAAACCAGAATAAAATTATGGCCTAACCCTAACCTAGTACACACTACGGGAGTACCCAAGATTTTACATTGACATGACATAATACTTCACCTGACACCAGCGATGGGATTCAATTTTTTAGAAAAGGTTCTCTTCCATATTGAACTTACCAACAACAGGATCGCACACTTCAGAAAATGTACGTACTTCACTACGTAAGCCACACTAAAATGACACGCTTTACACAAATCTAATACATAAGTTTCGTAGCGCTAAATATACCGCTAGTCATTAGCTGCGATGCACGTTACCAACTTGCTGGGGTTGTCTAACGTCTAACTCTAAAACAAAAAACAGGAACAGGTTCGCTGATAACCAAGACATTCCCGAACCCCCTGATCCCACCACTGCCCGAAAGACTATTCATGAATAATCTATATAAATCACGTTATTTTTATATATCCTTTCAGTAAGATGGTTAAATATTTTATGTTCACTGTCAAAAGTCTTTCTAAATTAATTTCACTTGTTTAATAGATGTATGTATTGGTTATAGTTGTGATTGACATGATATTTTTTTGGGTTATGCAAAATTATCGATTCAACAGGATTACGAATTTTCATCAAGCTTTGACAGAAATTTATCATGTTGTCGCGACTCGAATGTTTCAATTAGGCCTGGATAGTGAAAGCCCATTTTTACTTTTTGAACTACATTAACATTAACCATTAAAGTCTAGTTGTTACTGGGGAATAGGCATCCCATCCCCTACGTGGGAATAAAAGAATTTTCCCAGGCATTGAAATTTTGCCAATATTTTGTATTTCAAACATGCTTTACATTTAGTTTGTATATATAGGTATTATTGCTGTTGTTTTCTGTTTTAAGTTATTATTGGTCCCACTGGGAACTAAATGTATTTTATCGCATTTTATTTTGACTGAAAAATTTTGTCACGTTATTATATTCTCTCTAATCCCTTAATTACTCATCAACTATAAGTACTTTTGAAGACTTATTTTCCAACCACGTTAAGGGGGGCCGCCACTTATCGGATAACCGGTGTTTTTGTCCTTATATTATTTACAATACGATATTACGATAAAGTTTTGCTTTAATTAAAACATCAATTCACGCATTTTAATTCAAAATTCGGGGTGATTGGTTTTATGTTTACATTAATTAATATAAAACTGTTTTCCAAATAAATTCCATAGCCAATTTGCGTCACTCATTCACGTAAAGTAATCAAGTCTAATTTTATGAATAAAAAGGCATTTTGACATCATATATCATTAGCAATCAATATTACCGCCTATATCTAGTTCTCAATCAAATATATATCCTCGCACGTTCGGTTTGGTAAACAACATTTTATTGAGACGACGAGGATTAATTTCAACTAATATTCATTTTAGACGAGACATGTTCAATTCGTATTTGAATTTTTAAATTGTGAGGGCTTTTTCAGAATAAAAAAGTTTTGGAATTATATAAATGTGATATTTGTTTAATTTTCGATCAGTTTAATAATTTTTTATCCAAATATGTATCAGTTGAAAAGTTAAATACGATCGAATAACTGAATCAATCTTAAAAACTCTTAATCTTTAATCTCAAAAATAAAATATGGCGATTTAAATTAATGGAATAGCTTTTACCGTAATAATGCCTTTATTTCTTGAAAGGAAAAATATAAGGAAATAGCGGTATACAACTGCAGATACTAATTTAACGAATCTAAAAATTTCGGATCTCTTTTATGGTATTCTCGTTATTTTAAAAATGAAACGATAATTTTAAATAACTGGAAATTGTCCTTTCTGTGAAATTAAAGTTTATTGCACTCTCTTGTTGTACTGTCGTCGAAATAAGGATTCTTCCAGATATTTACTATCTTCTGATAGGAAGTGACAGGAAATTCATCTACCAGCGTTCGAGTAAATAATAAAGAGTTTGAAGATTTTAGAGTCATTATCATATTTCAATGCCAAAATGTGATGTTTTTCACATAGTTGTGGAGATTCCCTTCATGTAGTAAACATAAGAATGTCGAAATGTTTTCCTCGCAATAAACTTAATTGTTGAATGAAAAAATAAATATAAGCAAAGACGTACAAACAATCACATTTGTAGTGTTTTTGAGCACAAGCAAAATATTTCAATATATGTCAAAAGCTGCTGCAGTTTTTTTATCTGAAAAACAAAATAATAAAGTGCTAATCATTCATAAACGTGATTGTAAATCGCCACAAGCTTTTATCACATTAAAAAAAAATATATATATATGGTAAATATATTATACCGTCAAATAGCCCGTGGTTTTAACTTTTTTCAAGCGACCCAAATTTTCTAAAAAAATAAATTTTGTAAAATCTCGCGACCCAAGTATATTATTAAATACCAAATGGCATGTAATACTTTTATGGCCGCAAAATTAAATGAATAATATAAAACAATCATTTTTACATAACATTATTTCCCTGTAAATTATCTATAAGTGAGAAAGCTACGCTTGTTTGCCCTGAGCGAGGGTTTGAAATCATGGTGTGTCTTTACTTGAGCAAAATGAATACAAGTTTTTACGCTGTGACACTTTCCACGTATATATAACTACTATTGTGCAACACTTCAATACCGAATATGAAATATACAATGAAAATGAATATAGGAAATAAAATACGTAACTTTTAGGTTTTTGTTGATAAAATAAGCAACCCAAGAAAATTTTTACGCTATCCAGTTTTGGTTTGCGACCCGACCCATGGGTTGAAAACACTGGTATAATAGCCTATACTCACTCATCATGTCATCATGTCATCCCCATCCGATTTAAAAGATCTTTTCTTTCGCCCCCAGTACCCACTATTTTGATTCTCCGTTGTTTGACTGTAATAACAGAAAATATGAATTTGAATATATATTAATGAATTCGTCTAATTTTGAAACAGAATGCACCATTACCCTTCAAAACGAAAAATGATAAGCTAAATTATTTGAATTAAATGAACAGGCAGTATTTACCCCAATAATGCCTTTATTTAAAAATAAAAATATCGATATATAGCTATACTAATTTATCTAAGCAACAACGCATCTAGAAAATTTTTTTTTTTACTATTTTCGATTTTTATCGTAGCCATGCAACGATAGTATCATTACCGTAATTACTTATGTTTTATTCGTCCATAATTGGGATCATGCCCCTAACCGCGACTAACAGGTATTAAACATCAGGTTGTCTGGTGCCATGACGTTACAGGCTTAAGTTTATGACGTTAAATTCAGCCTACTATCCAATATACTTGTGTGATCAGCTTACGTACATTGCCCGCATCTAGAATTTCGTATTTCGCGCAATTTCAATAGTTTATTTATGACGTCAAATTTCATTGTTAAAGAGGGGTTTGACAAATGGCATAGCCTGCTATCGTCTAAATTCGGCTCTGATTATATTCTCATTGCCACCAACTAACTTCCTTCAAAGTATGCTAAAAAATAACTAATGTATAATTACACAACTCCGATGTATTCATTCCCATCCCTCTCGCTAGGCTCATCGTCGCTGGTGACAGTGACATCGTTGGGTCTGACTGCACGTTGAGTTACGACAAAATGCTTCATGGTGAGAAGTGCAAGACACACATACATGAGTGCTGTCCAGAACAAAGATTTCATTGTGTTTTCAATTAGAAGATATGTTTAACACAACCTGTGAAATTTAGACACAGGCATAAATTTGATATATATATATATATTTTTCTTTAGTGATTCAATCGGTATAGCGCACCAAGGTATTCTGTGATGACTGAAATAAAACGAATCTTGCATAGCGCGTATTGTAACCCATGATTATTCAGGGTTTCTCTAGCACTCTAATTCGTGTATCCGGGATGATTGACCGATTAGCTATTCATCGACCTCGACTGGTATGGGATGAGACACCGTGGTTCGTTATAGATGAGTTATTTCATCGGCTTCTCCCTCCCCGAATTATGAAAACCCTACCCTACTTTCGGAGGCTATCCGGGCTTTGGTTTAAGCACCCTCTGTGACACCAGTTAGCTGAAGTTTTTTTTTTCACTTTAATTTTGCGTCTGGGCAATGAGAATATATAACCTCATTGGTCCAGATAAAAGCAATCTTGAAAACAAATCGTCAACTTCATACACGACTACACAAACACGACTATTCGAAAAGCAATCCTGATCTTTGTAGCCGAAGAGCGAGTATATTACGCACCTTGAATACTAATTTATGAACAATAGACACAAATATCATTTCTCTTTACAACACATCTGTTTCAAATTTTCAACCTTGAGAAGTAAAGTGAGCGAACACGTACTACTTCTTTTATCAAACCTTCCCATCTAAAATCTGTACACTCCAAACTCTACTTGAGGTTTCGTTTGCTCTCTCGATTCTATAAATCATTTTTATTTATTTTGTTTTTATCAATTATTTTATCGTCCATTATGCTGATTATGGATTCGATATAAACTTATACTTATAAAGTAAAGTTGTATTTATATCACGATACCCATTGAATACTACTCTGCAATAGACACATCAGAAATTGATTGGAAAACTTGATTGCACGAATTGATTGATAAATTTTACATGTGTATTGATATTATCAAATCAATCGAAATTTATTGCAATGATGTTTAATTTTTTAATGAGAAAACACATTTATATGTATGCATATTATCCCGCGAATCATTACTTATAATGAATTCACTAATTCCGTAAAAGGTTTATTGATAAGATAACGGTTTTGAATTAATTACATCCTTGAGTACTCGATCGTTAGAAGTCCAATGGCAATCTGGGTCAAAGGTCCTGAATAGATTACTTCGGGTCACGTTTGACAATGCAGATTGTAGAGTTTACCAGAGGTCACGAAACTGGGTTTGATTTTTAGCGATTCTACGTATACTGTACAGTGGGGAATCGTTAAACAACATGGCAGATTCATCCGATATTCAGGATTCTTTAAAACACCAATATCGAAGTGAGTGTTACTTGACATACGGTAGCTTATTACATACGGTACCGGTACCGGTACTGTTTGCCAGTTAGGATAGGATAGGATTTACATATTTATCCCGGGGGAGAGGAAAGCCGATAAGACGGCTTATCCATATGGCGAACCACGGCCTCTCGTCCGGTTACCATTCCAAGTCGGGTATGGGATTAGTTTTTACTGTATTGTTTGTTTTCGGAAGCATGAACTTGGTGGTGGAGGAAGCCGTAACCGACCAGCGGTTACTGGGTTACGTGAACCACCCAACGACGGCGAGGAGTCCAGCAATCCTCTCGCACATAACCATCCCTGCATGGGATTTGAACCTGCGAACCCACGCAGAGTAATTAGAGGTGCGGTGGCGAGCGTATTCCCAACGCTTAGCCCGTTGAGCCACACCGCTGCGCCATGAACTAGTTTGGGGTTACTTTTGACTATATGTAGCATGTACGCTGTTGTAGACCTACACTTACCTATTTTCAAATAACTTATCGCATTGGTTGACAGTTGATGCTGATCGTTGTGAAGTGCCTTTTAATGGTATTATGACCAAGATCATATTTTCAATTCTATTGAGACTTGACTGCTTGAAGTGCTGAAATCTTACATTTTTGATTTTTGTTTACTCAAAACTATTGAACTAAAAGCATCAAAAAATGGGAAGTCAATAATTTTGAATTTTTCACAATCAAATTGAAGATTTTCCCATCTCAGCGGTCTTGATTTCTATCATTCAATAATTCTTTAAATTCAATTTATTCATAGTCAGAAAAATGATACAATAGTTCATGTTCAGCATGTTTTCTTCAGATCCATAGTCGTATAAACAAACTCCCTCAAGCCAAAATTTTGAACTTGTTTTTTATGTCTACAAATATTTTATTAGGCATGAAACTGGAAGACTTGAAAGCATTAATGGATGATTCAAATATTTCCAAAAATCAGAAGAAAAAAATAAATAAACAAATAAAGTGGTTGCAAAATGTTCAAGATAGAAGGTTAATCACTTTAATATGAAATTCAATTATTTACTATTCTATTATTCTGCATGAATACAAGAGATGGATTTCATGTTTATCCCACCATAAACAATATACCAGTTTGTTCGGGCTTTAAAATAAGTACCGTATCGTATACAACCAATCAATTTTTCCAGATGCATAAATATAAATGATAGAAAATGTGTTAGCCCACCCCTTGTTTCATGAACCATTCTCCACAAAACATGAACCCATGTGCAAGGTAATCAGTGATGTGGTAGCAACAAACCGTAACGTTACACAACCAATTCATCGGAATCATATGCTCTAAATCCACACTTTAATATTCTAATAACGGAACACCCTCAGTAACATAAGAATTGTGCTATTGCATTTTTAGAGATTAATTGGGTATATATTCTCAAACTCAACCTGTTTCAGAGAGAGACGTAAAGAGAAGAAGAAAGAAAAGGCTTTCAAACGCAAAATCAAAACTGATGATACACCTGATCACTCTAGTGATACAGCAAATCATGCTAGTAAATTCAAAAAGGCCAGAAAGGAAAAAATAACTACAAATGATAACTTTGAAAAACATGTTCATGTTGCTGTTGATTTGTCGTTCGATGATTACATGACAAATCTTGATTTATCAAAATTGCGAAAACAAGTTTCTTGGTGTTATAAAGAGAATAGAAGATCCACCCATCCTGTGCAGGTAGGGTTTAATTATTCAGTCTTTCTAGTAATTTGATGGGTGTGATGGCCAAGTGGTTAAAGCGATAGACTTGACTATGTTGGGTTCAACTTCCTTGCCCATCGCCTCACTCAAGCTGTAATAAATTGAGTATGCAGAACAAGAAAGATCCAGATCCTTCCAATAATTATTGTGTCAGTGGATGCTTGTGCATGGCCTAGTTTGGAGCGAATGACATACATAAACGCCATATAAAAGAGCTCGAGAAAATTTGTAATCAATATCTTTGTGATTAACATTTGAATGTATGGTGTCCATTTGGCAAGTGGGATTTTTTCATGCAAAGCAGCTCGAGGCCAAGTTACGAGCTATCAGTGAAGATCTCACCATCAGAAGATTTATTCGCAAACAACTAATGACTGAAAAAGAAATATGTATATCTTGCCACTTGTATACCTTTTTCTGGTACTTTTCATTATTCTGAAATTCTTTCTATCCAGTATCACATCTGTGGATTGACGGAAAGGATGAAGGAAGGCATGGATCAGTCTTATGTTAATTGGGATGTAAGTAGGATTGATCAGTTTTGTCATTTTTGAAATTTAAGTTGTATGAATTTGTTTATAACTGAGAAAGTACTTTTGCAAATACAATCACACTCTATGGCTTGTTGAATAATAAATGTGACTCTTTTATTGTAATATTTGGAGACCGTTTATGCTCTTCCTCTGACCTTATTTCGTATTTGAATACCTAATAATAACCCCCAATTTTAAACTATTTTCAGGTTCACTTTGATGACAATATTTATAAACGATTCAGTAAGGCAGACATGGTATATTTAACATCTGACTCTCCTAATGTTATATCAGAAATAAAAGCGGGAAGAGTATATGTTATAGGTGGTCTCGTGGACCATAACAAACACAAGGTAACTGAAATATCCTTATGACATATAAAATGTAACCTTGTATAAATACATTGGTAATAGGTAGGTAACTAATTTGTCCAATAAAAGTTGATTTACATTGTTATGTTATGGGTTTTATTGTTTTGCAGGGTTTGACCAATAAGTTAGCTATTGAAAATGGTTTAGAAACTGGACGTTTGCCACTTGAGGAACATATTGACATGAAAACAAGAAAAGTTCTGACAGTAAACCATGGTAGGAGATGATTGCCATATCAAGAAATTTGATAATTAATAATATGAATAACTATGAATAACTAATTACTATATTTATTTCAACTTTGTGAAGCTCTGTTCAGATGACAGTCCTTGGATTTTAGGTAACACATATCTGATTTGAAAAACCACCCAATTTTTCAAAGTATTTTATCTCTTTCAGTGTTTGACATTATTGTAGCATACTGTGAGCTTGAAGACTGGAAGTCAGCTTTGCTCAGAGCGATTCCAAGTCGGAAGGGTGCTGTAGCTCTCAAGGATAATGATGGTGATATAGCTTGATGGAATGTATCATCTATCCTACGATCAGAGTTCTTCCAGAGTAAAATGATTGCTCTTCGTGGAGAATATTGCATGAATGCTTACCTGAATTGGAAAGAGGGGGCTGTGTTACTCATAAATGTATCAAAATGCATACCTTCTTAACTGCTGAGAAGATTACTGGGAAAAATCAACCTTGGAAATCATACTTTGAAAAATCAACCTTTGGAATTAACCTTTTAATAAAACATATGCAAGATATAATGTGTACAACTCATGTAGCTGATTTAATTTGTTCAGGCCAGAGGTTCTGAATATTTTCCAGAGCACAGAACCTTCCTATCATTTTTTTTGTCGTTTCATTGCTATGCTAAACTGTTCGTATTTGAACTGATCATTGTGTCATGAAAATTGTTGATGAAAGTGGATGGATGTAATCAGTGTTCCCTATAAGGTGTAGAGGCTGCGCACATGCATAGATTTACTGCGCACAGACGTATTTCGATGTAATGTAACAATGTTCTCGGTTGGCAGGTTGAGAAAGTTTGTTGTTGGCCCACCCATTACCCAAAAGAACGCCAAAATTTCTTCATTGGTTTTTGCACAAATATTAGTCATTTGCAAAAAAGTGCGCACACACCAAAATTTCTGCGCACACATACTACAAAAAATTAGAGGGAACATTGGATGTAATCAATGGCGACATGCTAATTTGTAATATCATACAGAAATAAAATGTTATTCTACAAGAAAATTTCTTGCTGCGATTCTGAGTTGAGTGAGCGTCAAGTCCTTATGATTAATTATAGTTGTAGAACACCAGTAATGTATTTCATAGGGCCTTCTCTCAGAATTTATGCACTGGGATTGTTTTCAATCTTTTTTCAATTGAATTTGGATGTATGGTTTCAGTAACAAGTAGTCATAAAAGAAATTATCCATTCTAGTTAATGTTGTTTTATTCGCATAAATATTTTCACTCATGGGCTGCGCTTCATAAGGAAAGTATACACCTGCCTTTACGCCACGGTTATCAAGTTTGCCACATTTGCAATAATAATTTGAAACCTTTCGAAGACTAGTTACCCTGGGTATTAAAACCATGGTCTATAGCAGGGGGCTCCAACACGCGGGCCGCATGCGGCCTGCCAAGCATTTTTTTGCGGCCGCGTCATGGTTTGGATTTTTCCACAAAAAACTAAAATAGTACAATGTCAACTATTAGTACGGTAAGTTTTGTCTTGTCATTTATCATCGAAAGTCCGGTACGACAAACTGTAAAAATTGTATCAAAAATTTCCCCCTGTTATTCCACTTTACCGCGTTCATGTTTCTTGTTATAATTCAATTATAAATACAATAATTTCATTTCGCATGTTCATTGTGACGAAATCAACGAGTTCCGGTCAGTCCATTGTGTTCGAAGAAAGGTTTGCAAACCTTTGGTGCTAATTGCACATTCGCGTTGCATACCTGCGATGTTTGGCAGATTTTATATTTGCGAGCAGTTTTTTTTTTAACTATGAAAATTAGCAAGTCAGCCCTCCGCACACGACTAACGGACGAGCATTTGCATGCTGTCTTAAGACTAGCAAACCAACGTAAAATACGGCCAAACACCAAAACCATATATGCAGCACAAGTAAATGAATATGTTTCATGTCTCGTTTGCTGTTAGATTCAAGTGTAATTTCAACATAATACATTCAGATACCCATTTTTGTTTAGTTTGCGGCCCGCGTGGTCAATAAATTTCAAAAAGTGGCCCGCGACATGTTTTGAGTTGGAGACCCCTGGTCTATAGATGAGTGGTAGATATCTTTATTAAACTTACAACCAACGACTAAAATACCGCTTACAACTGATAAGGAACTAAAATTTATTCTGCAAATCTCAATGCGATGGGTTTGTCTGTGTTGAGGAACAAATAACCCCCGACATTAACTGGTAACCGGACGAGGGGCCGTGGTTCGTTATATGATTCAGCCGATTCTTTTAATTGATTCAAAATTGATAATATCAATCACCATATATATAAGTAGCAAACCTTGGCAATTATTTATGGAGGAATTTGTATATTGGAATACAAGATAAAACACACGTTCACGTGGATCACTCAGAGATTGTAGTGCCCGATATTTAAAAAAAATTTTGTATCATTTTAATTTGGCAGATGTTTGGCATATTCAAAACCCAGACACAAAAAATTTCAATTTGTAAATTCAATGAATAGTTATTTAATGCCCTATTTCCCTAGCAATTCTCGTTCTTTATACTGAGCAATTCGTTACGTGTTTCCGGCTTCTCGTACGAGTGTTGAAATATAGAATTTTTTATGTTTCGTGTGGATTGAAGTTTTGGATTTCGACTCTATTACTGTTTTAAGGTTTAAAAGTATATTTCAATATGTCTGTTTGGATTTAATTCGATTGCACAACTATAGGCTACAATGTGCGAACATTTGGCATTACAATGCATTGATGCTCATTGACCTCTGAAAGATTGCAGATCGTGATTTCAGTCTGTCAACGGGTGTTAAATAACACGTGAGTGCGAACACGCAGAGTAGGGGAGTAGGGTCAATTATTCCCTGGTATAATACATATCAAATTCGAAAAACTTGGAACTAAGACCCATCATCGTCGAAATAGAACTAAGTTTCGATATTTTGTGCGAGGATATACAAGCGCTTAGGTCTCATTGAAGGTATTGCAATTTTCCTATATATATGTTCTGTATTATTTTATTTCACCTCATTTTTATTATAGTTCCCGGAGGTCGCAAAAAAACCTTGTCGTGCCAAATGGGTCGTGATGAAAAAAGTTCAAGCTACTGCATTTTAGGTGAATCCACTGGTTATTTTCTTAATCATCGCTATAGCCCACTTTGGGTTTGCAGATTTTGGCATTCGTGACATGGCAAATGTCCCTTATTACGATTCCTATGGGCAAAATAAAGAAATAAAAATGACCAATAAAAAGTATGACAGCGTTTTGTACTGTTTTACAGTCAGAATTTGATCTACCCTAGCTAATCTACCCTTTATTTCAAAGGACAATCCTTAAATTGAGCTTTTCGGTCCTTTTTAGAATTTAGAAAATATGCCTAATTGTCGTTTATTCTTTCCAACGTCGTTTTGCCCGATAGTTATAGTACTGTGTTTGATATTGTTCCGTTCTTAAAAAATCGCCTCCGTTTATGTATTTGCAAGCTTTTAATTATTCTTTTTAATTTCGCTTTGGTCCGGCTGAAATAGCCAAAGGATTACCAATTTTATTAACATTCCAAATAAATATTTTACACTCCATGATTTGAGTAAATTCTAGTTCAATAACAGAAATTAAACGTAATAATTGGTCTTTATGACGTCCAAAGTCCAAATATGCTGTTTTAATAAATGCTTGGGTAACCATAGTATGTTATCGAATTATCTAGAACTAAAACCGACGAGATATAAATACGCTCGCTAGGAAGCTGATATTTCCTGTAGAGCTGTGTGAAGTCTAAGATATTTAACGCACTGTTGTTCGAGCTAGTTCTTTTATCTGTGTCCCTTGAACAGTTTGAGGCTTTTTCATTTTTTAAGTTTGATTGGAAACCTGTATTTGGTTGTATTAAGCAAAGTGGGATCAGTATTTGGCTGGAGTATTTGGTTGTATTAAGATTAAATTAATTAATTAAATTACATTAAATTAATCTCAAGTATGCCTGAATCATCTTGTGTTTGTAAGAAGCAAAAGAATGGTGCACTGTGGATACAGTGTGGTACAAAGAAGTGCAAGACTTCGTGGTGGCATGTGGAGTGTGCTGGTTTACAAGGTATCACAGAAGATTGTATCAATAAAATAAGATACAGATGCCCAAGTTGTGTTGTAGAACCATAAGGATTGTTGACACCTGCAAAATCGAGCAAAAATATAAGCGATGCAGTGCAAGATGAAATAAAAAAAAGTCTTCCTGACATCATTAAGACTGTTGTAGGAGAGGTGTCATCGGCAACCACCAAAATTTTGCCGATTGCTTTAAGGAGCAAAACTCTGGAAGCCAAGTCAATCTTATCAAACAGACTGTAAAAGAAACTTCAGATCTTGCATTGCAAGAAAGTATGAAAAGGATTAACTCGAATATAATGAAACAGAGAAAAAGAAGCCGCAACATTGTGATTTCTGGATTGGCTGAAACTGGGAATGAGGACATAAAGCAAATTGTATACTCACAAATTGAGAGTAAAATTTCTGGATTCCAGTCCTCCAGCATCTTGAGCTGCTACCGTATAGGTAAGAAAGAGACTGGAGAGAGTGCAAACAGAAACAAACGGCTCATACTAGTTACTCTCAGAATTGAGGAGGAAGCATCTGATATCCACAATTTTGGCAAGGGAAGGAAACTATAGGATGACATTTGGATTAACCAAGACCTAACAAGAACTGAGCGTGAGGTTCAATACCAACAAAGAAAGGAAAGAAGCGACAGGAAGAAAAATCTGAGGAAATTGCAAAAAACTAGAGAAGTCTAGTGGAGATGAATGTATGAAAACTAGCTTGGAACAAATCAAATCTATGAAAATTTACTACACAAATGCAAACTCAATTTTTACCAAATCAAATGAACTAAAGGTTCTGATAAGTGCGTGTAAATATGACATAATATGCATAACCGAAACTCATCTAAATCATTTCCTTGATTCAGAGCTGCACATCAATGGCTATAATTTATTTCGTGAAGACAGGGAAACTCCCAGTGGGAAAGGAGGTGGATCTCTGATCTACGTCCACTCGGGGCTTAATGCTGAGAGAGCACAGTTCTTCAAATCACTTGAGAGTGTAACTGTTCACATATCTCTAAAGTCTGTCAAATTTGTATTGGTTTGTTTGTATCGTGCACATTCACTAGATGATGAAGGTAATGGAAACATCCTACATGAGCTGGTCAGACTGACTCAAGCATCAGCAGATGAGGATATCCTTATTGTGGGTGATGTAAATCTGCCTGATATTGACTGGAACGTTGGTAGCTCTGTGTTTGAAACAGGTAATCAGAAAATTGTTGCTCAGAATGTATTTATGGAAAACTTGATACAACTGGGGTATTCATGGTTCATCAAAAATGAGGTTACTCGGAGGAGATTAGTTGGAAATTGCATGCAAGAATCGCAACTTGACCAGGTATTTAGTACAAATTCTGCGTTGGTGCTGGAAGTGAACAAAACTGCAGCACTGTGCAAAAGCGACCATCTATCTTTGGTGAACTGTGAATATGGGGGTGACAAAGTCTTATTTATGCACTACCAAACAGGATTTATCTAACTTGTCTCTATTGTTGGTGGACGAATACTCACAGGACATTGATTGGAGCTACAGTTCCTTAAATTTATCTGTAGAAGAAATGTGGGGT